GTAAACTAAATTTTAACGCTAATGTAGTAATGTAATATCTTGGGATTTGGGTTTCTGGCGGAAATCGACAGTATGAGGAACATAAGAGGCACAGGTATGAAAATCAGATGTTACTTTAAATTAAACTGGAGTGACAGGACACCACACACCGAAATGGGCAAATTTCTGTCGGCAAACTAACAAGGAACTGACAAATCAAGGGTATGGAAGTAGAAAAGAAACGTACTTGCCGAAGCAAACGATGCTTGACGTGGATCATATCATGTTGGGGTATGCCTTCGGTTATGCAAACAATAAGCGGCATCTCTGCCTCCATGGCTTCATCGATCGCCTTTGCGGCAAACTGTGGAGGAACGAATATAACAGATGCTGTGGCGCCGGTAGCCTCCTTTGCTTCCCCAACAGTGTTGAAAACAGGAAGACCGAGATGGGTCTTTCCAGCCTTGCCCGGTGAAACGCCGCCGACCAACTTCGTCCCATAAGTCAACGTTTGCTGAGAATGGAAGGTTCCTTGTTTTCCAGTGAAGCCCTGGCAGATCACTTTCGTCGTCTCGTCCAGAAGGAGGAACGGGCGCGTACTCTCATAGTTAGTACGTTTGAACTGTGAGAAAGCTTGTGAACAAAAGAAAGCATAAGTGGTTAAGTATAGGAGAAAAAGCAAACAGAAAATTGCTACTAGATGCCTGTTTCTATTTTTAGATTGGACTGGATTGACTATCAAATGCTTAGTGACCGAATATGCTGATGGTTTATAGAACACTAACTGATTATGCAGTTAATTGGCATAAACACCTGGACTCCTAAGATACGATGTTCTCAAAGCCGCACTGTATGCAATACTTGTTAGAAAGCCCCACACTTTGATTGAAGTATCCCTGATCTTTTAGACTGAATCCCACTTGGAGGATGAAATATTAAACCCCACAGGCCAAAGGTGTACATTTTTCTGGTCATCCAACCCTATCGACTTTTTATTAGCGGTTACGTACCTGCTGTCTTAGTTAAAGCACTTCCTAACGCTTCCACATGCCGTAAAACCGACCTGGAATCCTGGACGCACTTAATATGATTCTAGTTTCGGGAGACGAATATCGCCCACCAGCTTATCTGGTCACTGGCAGAAGCTAGCTGAGATAATCCGCGAATGGAGCTCTAGCATGGTGCCGAGGATTCATTTTCGGCTAACCAACTGGCCTAGAAAGGGCCCTATCATAACAAAACGGATACCATATTGTGATTAATCACCACAGAAGGAACTCGTTTCGCTAATGTTGTCTTGATGGATCAGGATGGATTTGCAAACAAAATTGTGGACTAAGTAAACTAATACAAACCAAATCAAAATCGCTACAAATTAATACTGCTACGCAGGACAGAGAGGCAAGACAACCGGTCTAACGAAGTGTAAACGTCATCACAAACGATTATTCATTGAAAACTATAAGTAACCATCGCAGGACATATGAGAACTGATCCATGCAACAGCTAGCGAGACCAGAATTTTTTTAACAGGAACAGCTTGAAAGCATTCGAATAAAAGGACGATTCCCGGCAACAGTATTCCTTAAGGAATACTGTTGGAAGAAAAGCGACGATCACGACAGGCC